GGTGCTCCACCTCCCAGCCTCAGTCTGTTTCCCCCACCAGCACATTTGGGATCACTGGAGACTTCTCTATTTGAGCAGAGCTCCTGGGCCCATTAATGCTTGTTCTGCTGCTGCCCTGGATCCTGCTCAGAGCTGAGTCTGGAAGCTATGCTGTTCTTTGGAAAGACGTGAGCAGGATTTTCTCTGAGTCTGCAGAGCCTGGCAAGATAGCGAGGCAAGGACTGCCCTGTTCTCGCTGGAGATGCCAGGGACCCAACCCCGGAATTCAGGGCCACTTGGCCGTGGAGTACATGGGCTTGTGATTTATTCAGGTTGTATTGTACCCATTTCCAGGAACTATCCTCTACCTGCACCCTGTGCTCAACCTTGCTGTCCCTTGCTTTGTCCACACCTTCCTCCCATCAATCTGGATCCTCCTGCTTTCCTCCCTCTCCCCGATTCCTTGACAGAAGTCTTTGCTTTGCCATGTTTGATGTTTGTGTCTCACTCTTGCCTTGCCTTTCCAGGCTGTGCACGAGACCATCCTGAACAACAAATTCCTCATTGTGCGGAACAAGGAGCTGGTGTGGAGAAGAGAAGACAGCCAGCGCTTTTACCAGGAGCACTCTGGTAGTGATCTCAGAGAGCTTGCCACTGACTCTTGCAGCGCCTTTTATCAGGGTGAATCCTGGAGTGGGAGGTCATCTTAGTTCATGCAGGAAATGTTGAAGTGGGCAGTGGGGAGCACAGGGAAGAGTACAAGTTAGCCTTTCTCAGGAGGGGCATCACAGAAGGGCAAGGAGTTGAGAAATGGTTGAAGAGAAAGAGTTGGAAAGACTGTGTGGAGAGAGATTCGAAGACAGGTATTGTGTAGTTCAGCAAAGACATACATGAAAGGGGGTTTGACAGAGGGATAGAAAACTGATTTCTTGTGAAAAGCGCTCAGATCATATGCTGGTAGATGCTAGTATAAACCCTAGGACAGATAGATAGGGAATTAATCAGGGAGTCATACCACAGCAACTGGCTAGTCAAACTGAAAGGCACCATACCTAAGAATTGTCATAGGAAATACTTATGCAAGACACGATCTGTAGAGCTCTCAGCCATGAGCCATTACTGAGGCTAAGAGTTCAGTAGAAGTCAAAACACATTTAGACATTTGTGTGCATAGTGCTTTGCTACAGACTTTTTGTATGACTTTAGACTAGTTGCTTAGTACCTTGATTCCCCATCTGAGACTCGAAACCATAGCACTTTCCTACGTATTTTGTGTTTAGAGGATAAATACAATACATTAAAAATTGTGAGGTGCTCTGCTCCTGAAGAAACAGGGACAGATTGCATCATTTCTATCCAGCCATGGTACTAACAAACAAATGTCTTCCCATCCTGCTACATAGAGGAGCTAGCCATTGACCCACAAGGCTGGGGGGATGCTCCCACAAGGTTGCTTTATCCCACAATTGTCTAATGGAGGGTTCTGCCCCTGCTGTCAAAGTAGCTGGTATCAGTCCCAGTTGGAGATAGGATGCTTTGCTAGATAAGCTCTGAACTGGCAAAGCCTGTTCCTATTGTAAGAGCAGTCCAGGAAAGGTCTGTTGGGTAACAGGAAGGCAGTAGGGCAGGGTCAAACGAGTGTCAGGATGAAGGGGTGAGGGGCATCTATGCCCCCTTTGTGTGAAACGTTCATTCTTTCACTCTCGTTGCAGGACGATTTTTCTATCAGAGGCTGGTGGAGTTCATGGCCAGGTACCTCCCTTCTATTCCCCCAATTAATCCCTGCCCAGCAGTGAATCCCAGCCATGGATGCTAGCAGCTGTTCAGGCTGTCAGGAGTGAGCAGGGGGTGACTCCCAGTGTCACATACATGCCATTGTCCCCTCATGCTGGTGCTTATTCTAGCAATCCTAATGTTCTTGACTCCTCCACCCTCTGCCTTGGGAAGGGGAGAATGAGAATGGGACAGAGCAATGGGCAAGTTTGTTCCTAAAATCATGAGTTAAATGGCCCGGGGAGGCAATATTCATGGTACAATTAATAATGATCAAGCCTCTGGGCTTGAATTTTGGGATTCCAGAGATCCTCAATGCTGCCCTAATAGTGTAGCATTTGGGGGAGTGTGATCAGTGCTGATAGAAATGCCATTCTTTCCAGGCTACCTTATGTCAGATCCCTGTGCTGGAATCAGGGAGTTGTAATACTCTGGAATAAGACCCCATCATCTCTGGCAACCTGCTCTGTGTCCCAGAGCAGTGCTATATGGCAGCCACATTCTCCTGCTGTGTCTGTGAAGATGGAAAGCACACGAGGTGCTCTTATCCTGCTATAATCACTTCTCTTGTCCTGCCTGTGTTTCCCCAGTGGCCCTATGCGAGCTTATATTCTAGCCCATGAAGATGCTGTTGCACTTTGGAGATCTCTCATGGGACCCACCAAGGTATACCAAGCCCGAAATACAGCTCCAGACTCCATCCGAGGAGCTTATGGCCTCACTGACACGAGGAACACCACTCATGGCTCAGGTAAGAAAACCAGAGCAGTCACTGCGGTGGAGTCCAATTGAAGCAACATGCCACCACCTCAAGGCCCGCTCTCTCTCTCTCTCTCTCTCTCCCCCCCGCCCCCCAACAGACTCCGCAGCATCGGCCAGTAGAGAAATTGCGTTCTTCTTCCCAGAGTTCAGTGAGAGTCATTGGTACCAGCAGGATGAGCCATGTCTGCGCTGTGGCCTGGCACGCTACGATGCAGAGGAGTGTGTTCACAGCATACTCAAGGCTGGCATGACAGAGTCATCCTAGAGAAGAGAAGGAAACTTACCCCTGACTGACTCCGTTGGAGATGAGGAGGACGTTGCCTTGCACTCAGGAAGTGCTGCTAGCAGTACTAGCTGGCCTGTCCCTGGAACAAGGACAGGGAACCATGTAATGACCATTACAGTGGACAAATACCAGATGCAATACGCTTTACATCACACTCTGGGAGATTGTCTCACTTTACCTCTGGCTGCACATGTAGTGCCTAGATAGCATGGTGCTACAGA